ATTTCCCTTAAATGCCTCCCTTACTTTTTGAAACATCTCCCTTAGTGTCTCATATTCATCCTCCCAATTCTCCATATTTTCAATTTTAAAAGGCTAGGATTTTTAAGCTTATTCTTTTCATTTACATATGTGGGGGGGGATGCTTTTCAAGGGGGGCTGAGAGCAGAGTCATTCTGACAGTGTCTTTTAAAATTACTTGGAAGACCCATTTTTTTCCCTAACAATAATGGTTTGTATACTTTGGAATAAAACATATACCTAGAAAAAGTACTTGCAAAACTTGGATAGAAGGAAAAAAAAGGCAGGACTGGACTCATTATCAATAGCTAGTTAGTTCATTGTTATCAGTAACTCCCACTGATTCTAAACTCATTTTAAGACTGGGATTGGTGACTACTGAAATTTAAGTATTCAACATTGGTCTCAGAAATCTTTGATTTGAACTTTGATTTGAACTATGGCAAGAAAAATCGTAAAACGGGGCAAAACTCACTTAACCATAATAATTTCTAGATAATTTTATTCAAATAACAACAGAAAACCCAATACAGTTCAGTATGAATTGGCTTTCCAGTCCTTCCTTGATGCACTTTTTCACATTGGTTATCTAGTTTAAATGCCAAAGAAAAATCAATGATATATTTTTCAGACCTTTGGAGAATCACACTGTCAATTGTTCACACTGCTCAAGCAAAACTAACAGGTGTGAATTAAGTTTTAGCTAAAAAATGGAGCTTTAATTCCAGAAGTCCATTCTTTAAACTTGGACTTCTGGAATTAAAAGGCTCTGGATTAAATGGTACTCAAGATTAAAAATGGAGAAGAGTATCTTGCTTTTAGACATGATAATAGCTGTCTAGAGAGGTGAGTTATGAGCTATTTTTACGTCATCAGAAATTGAATTTATTACCTGTTAAAAATGCAAAGACAAGGAGTACAAGGAGCAAATAAAAGACCTTCATGTTGGGGTTGGTTCTGGACCAAATCTTACTTGTGGGACAGAAACCAGCTCTCAGCCCTCCTTTTGACTTCTTGAAAAGCATCCCCCCCCCACAAGCTCCACCACCTTAGGAGGCAGGGAAGGGCTGCAGGTTGATCCCAAGGGGGTCTGGGGCTAATGGTCTACCAGTTAAAAGCCTGATAGACCAGTACCTCTGCTAAATCCTAAAGAATTGTCACATGATCATCAAGCCACGCCCACAAAATTAGCCACGCCCACAGAACCGGTAGTAAAAAAAATTAGAACCCACCCCTGCCTCGCAGCACACTGAACTGTTTGTTAAATTGCTGGCTCGCCCGCCCCTCGCCCCACCCCGCCTCCCACCCGCGCGACGCCAGCCTACCATAGCCAGGGGTGGGCAACTGTGGCTCTTTTACAACCTGTGGACTTCAACTCCCAGAATTCCTGAGACAGTCAAGTGTCTCAGGAATTCTGGGAGTTGAAGTCCACAGGTTGTAAAAGAGCCACAATTGCCTACCCCTTCCCTGGCCCATCCAGTCACTGAGGGAGAACCGGTAGTAAAAAATTTTAATAGTTTGGAGAACTGGTAATAAGATTGGCTGGCCATGCCCCCGAACCGGTTCCTGGCCCGGTCGCCAGTTGCTTACTCGGCCCACCATCATTGCCCACATGCAGCCCCGGGACTCCGTCCTTTGCCAGCCAGGAGCGCTGCCGTCAGTCGCTCCCATGCACCCGGCTGCCTGCCTGCCTCGTCTCCGCCACCATGAGGAAAGGCCAGAAGTTCCACTGCTTGGGATCCACGTGGGCTGCCACAGGGAGAAGTCAGGTATGGCTAGCTGGACGCTGCTCGGAGCTGAGCTCGAGGCTGGCAGGAGGAGGAACTTTGCCTCTTAGCCAGCTCGACCGAGGGATAAGCCATCCGCCCCAGACACATGGGAGCAGAGCAGAAGGTGAAATTTGCCCCAGAGGCCTCCACCCCCACGATGCGCCCACGCCCAACAGGAGTCGCCTGGGCGCGCCGGGCCCAGCATCCCCACGACCTTCCTAGGGCCCTGGGTCTACCTGCGAGGGCCATTGTGTGGAACCCGCAGGGCAAAGACAGTGAGTTTTCCACGGGGGCTTCCTGAGCTCTGGCCGGGTCAGAAAGCCAGCAGAGGGCGTGAGATGCACGCTGCATTTCCTCCGCAGGCCGGGCCAAGTGGCTGCAGCGGTGACGGCGGCGATGGCGTCCAGGCAGATCCAACAGGTGAGAGCGCAGGAGGCACCGCGCAGCACAGGTGCACCTTTGCAAAGCGGCCTCACGGCCGGTGCCTCCTTTCCCCAGCCGGGGCTGTTGTGCCTACGCCGCCAGGGAACTGGCAGAAGGAGTGGGGAGGGTGGGCATGGGGGTGGTGGTCCTATCCAACTGGGCTTTTGCAAAACCAGGCACGAGATGGGAATTCCGACACTCGACACGCGTTTTGTGTGGCTTGCAGGGAGAGGGGGTTGGGCGGGAATCCAAGCCTGTGGATTGGCTTGTTTGGGGTGGGGAGCCAGGATCTCCGATGACTGGGACTTCCAGGGGATGCCCCTGGCTTTGCCTTATCTGTGTTCCTTTTCTTTGCAAAGATCCCCCCTCCCAAAAAAAGGACCGGTTGCCCAAACATTTGTGCTGCTGGCTTCCCTGCCTGTCTTGGCTCTGTCAGGATTGGGTCTCTCTCGCCTGGGGAGAGGGTCTCTTGGATATGTATGTGTGTGTTGTGTTAGGCTAGGCAGGGAGGTGTGATTCACATGGTTGTTAACTTAAGTGAATCCGGCTTTCCCCCCCCACATTGACTTTGCGTGTTGGAAAGGCTGCCCCCCCACCCCCCACTGCCATCTCAGCCCCTCTGTCCTGCCTTAACCTTAAACTGTGCTGCGTTTCCTCCAAAATCCAGTCTGTTTCCTCGCTGGGCAAGACTTTCCTGCCCCTGCCACTCAATTTCCAGGAGTTGTTTGTTTAGAGACAGGAAACCTTCCCAGGTTTCCGGGGTGGGGGGAGGTTTGAGCTGTGGAATATCTCACTGCCACACGTGTGTGTCCCCCGCACTCACCCTTTTTTACCTTGAAAAGGCAGAAACTTGAAGAGGTTGCAGAAAAAAATGCTCTTAGAAGCTTCTGAGGATCAGGCAACTCAGCTTGGATCGTCAGAGGTTTTTAAAGGGATTTTTTGAAGAGGTTGTAGGAAAAAAAATCCCCTTAAAAGCCTCTGGCGATCCCAGCAGAATTGCCTGATCGTCAGAAGCTTCTAAAAGCATTGTTTTCTGCAACCTCTCAAGGTTGTAGAAAAAATGCTTTTAAAAATAAAAGTAAAAAAAAAAAGTTGGCCACGCCCACCCAGTCACATTACCCACAGAACCAGTAGTAAAAAAATTTAGAACCCACCCCTGACTGGCTGCCCAGGCTGCAGCCGAAGCTCCGCATCATAATGGGCTCCAGGAGGAGGAGGGGCGCCGTCTGCCCCATTGCGAAGCTCAGTAAGAGCAACAAGAGCTGGCTGCAGGCGCAGCTGGGTGGGTGCAAACGCAGTGGGGAACAGACTTAAGGTGCCGCCTCCAAGCCGAGGGGCGACCCAATGGTGCGGTAGGTTCGCTGCCGCCGATGCCCAGACGGGAGAGGAGAAAGAGATGGAGAGAAAGAGAAATGAAGGAGAGAAAGAGGGGAGAAAGAGAAATGAAGGAGAGAAACGGAGGGAGAAAGAGAAATGAAGGAGAGAAGGGGGGAAAGATATGAAAGGCAGAAAGGGGAAGGGAGAAAGAGATGGAGAGAAAGAAAATGAAGGAGAAAAATGGGGGGAGAAAGAAATGAAGGAGAGAAGGGGGAAAGAGATGAAGGGGAGAAAGGGGGAAGGAGAAAGAGATGGAGAGAAAGAGAAATGAAGGAGAGAAAGGGAGAGAAAGAGAGATGAAGGAGAGAAAGGGGGGGAGAAAGAGAGATGAAGGGGAGAAAGAAAGATGAGAGAGATGAGACACCCAGAGATACCTGTTTAAAAGAAAATACTGGGAGCCACAAAACCTGAGTGGGAGTAAGTGATATGGAGTTGGCAATGCCCACCCAGGTTTAAAGTTGTGTTTAAGTGTTTACATGTGTTTAAGGTCGAGTATTTAAGGTTGCAGACATCCGATTGCTTCATCCTGCAGCCAGCCCTGTAGGCCTGCGCCCGTCTCCCACCTGGGCAGCAGCGGCCTACCTACCCTGGTTGTATCACCTTGCCCTGCAGCCGGCCCGAACGCCCGCCTCAGACTGCCTCCGACTGCTCCAGCAGGTCATTTTTATTTAATTAATTTAATTATGAATGCTGCAATGGACATAAATGATGACCGGTCAAAAGTGCGAGGACCTGTCAGAAATAACTTTTTTCAGCCCTCTGGGTAGTCCCTATGAACATATAGACTGCTCAGAGAGCTGAAAAAGTTATTTTTGACCGGTCCTCGCACTTTTGACCAGTCCTTGAACTTACGACTGTCCTCACATTTTACGTTTTGTGCCCTGTCTTGTCACCGTGATGAAGAGAAGTAGTGGTGAAATGACTGACACGGTTGTTAAGAATGCCGCATCCTCACACTTATGCAATGGGCATAAGTGTGAGGATGGTCATAAGTGTGAGGACCGGTCAAAAGTGCGAGGACCAGTCAGAAATGACTTTTTTCAGCCCTGTATAGTTCCTATGCACATAGCCACGCCCACCCGGTCACATGACCAGCTAGCCACGTCCACCCGGTCACATGACCACCAAGCCACACCCCCAACTAAGCCACGCGCACAGGACCGGTTGTTAAAAAAATTGAATCCCACCACTGGTCTTTGGGATAATAATAGTGTTCCCCGGCCTGTATTTTCCAGTTGTTTTGAATCATAGATCGTCATGCAGAGTCACTTCATGGGTTTACCTCCAAATGATGTGGATAACACGAGGATAAGGAACAAAATGAGACAATCAAGGTAAATCATAATATGTCCCAAATGGGTAGTAAGATAGTAGTGATTTCTTCAAGATCAAGGAAGGAGAAGGCTGCAAAGATGAAGGAATGGCAGGCTGATTTCCCTCATCACCCCAAAGCAGGCTTGGCACACTCAGGTGGAGGAAAAGGTGAACGCTTCCCATTGCACCTGTCACTGTTGCAACACTTTAGAACTTGAATTTCAGTTACAAATCTGAGAGTAGTGCCACATCTCCAATGGTCACTTCCTATAGGACAACGAGCATAGACTCCCCGAAATTGACCACCTTTAAAGGGAAAAAAAAAACTGTGAGTCAGGGAGAAACACGAAGATAGAGAGATGGGAGCTGAAGGCCTGCTGAGCAAACGCAGACAGTGGCTCCCAGCCAAGGACTCTGGCACCCAAATGAGACGATTACAGTTCTCAAGGTTAAGTTACCCTGCATTCACTTGATTGAATTCAAACGCCCTAGACCCAAGAAAATATTTGCTTCCTCATTTTGTGTACCACCAGGACAGCTTGTCAATAGAGAATGGGTTGGCCTTCATCACTTGCTGGAGCTCTAGATTAGGGGTGGGCTTCAAAAATTTTAGCAACAGGTTCTCTGCCTGGTTGCAGGGTGGGTGTGGCCATGGTGGGTGTGGCCTGGTCGGCCTCATGCATCACGAGGGGGGAGGCTTTTTGCCCTCCCTGGGCTCCGGGGGCTTTGCTTGAACCTCCAAGAGGGCGAAAATGGCCTCCGCAGGCTCCACAGGCCCTCTGAACTTCCTGAACTTCTAGTAGGCATATTTTTCGCCTTCTCCGAGCCTCCCTGCATGTCCTGCACTTACCAGCATCCAAAATGGGCCAATTGGGGACTTTGGGAGGGGCGGGATGGGCAGGGCCAGCCAGGAGTGGGATTTGGGGGTTCTCTGAACTGCATAGAATCTCATCTAGAGGTTCTCCCAAACCCCAGCAAACCCCCAGCAGCCCATCCCTGCACTAGATGGAGAAAAATGGCAAATGCTGTGAAATTCCAGAATGCTGAGCCAAGAGAAAGTGTCCATAACATTTAATCAGAATGGGACAACTTGACACTGGTAGCTTGGCATGGCCAGCTGAGGATGGCCTTCTCACCACCGCCAAGTCCCCTCTGCCAACTCAGCACCACAATTTCTTCTCAGGACACATCAATACTGGAAATTCGCTATGGGCACCTGATAGAGAGCTGTGCAAGCAAGCGAGTGAGTGAGCAGCCAGGGGCAGGGATGGGTGGGGCACTGGATGGAGAGCCAGGCAGGAGGGCGGGTGAGCAAGCGGGCTGTCAGAGGGTGGTGGAGGTATGTTGACTCCATCCTAAATGCTGAACCGGCAGTTGGGCTGCAGCAGAGGATGGAATGGCACTAGACTGGGCACTTCCCATTTTGACCCCCTCACTGCCACCATTGCCTGTGTTGGCAGCTTGGCTGTGGTGGTGTGTGGGTGGTGGGCAGGGCTTCTGCTGCTCTGCCAGTTTTTTTAAAAGTGAAACAAATTTGCTAGGTTTTTTTCTTAAGCACTGCCACCACACATTGCAAGGTTTTCTTTCGCTGTAGAGCAGCAGTGGCTGTGAGGGCCTGGATGGGAGTCAACAGGCTCAGACTTAACCCAGACAAGATTGAATGGCTGTGGGTATTGCCTCCTAAAGACTATGTCGATTGTCCATCCTTGGTCCTGGGGGGAGAGAAAGTGTCCTCCTCAGAATGGGCTCGCAATCTAGGTGTCCTCCTAGACTCACAGCTAAGATTGGAACAACATCTGACAGCTGTGGCTAGGGGGACCTTTGCACAGGTTCACCTGATGCACCAATTGCGACCCTTCTTGGATCAGGAGGCTCTCTTCACAGTCACTCATGCCCTTGTCACCTCACAGTTGGATTATTGCAATGTGCTCTACATGGGGCTACCCTTGAAAAGTGTTTGGAGACTACAGTTGGTCCAGAATGCAGCTGTACAAGCTATTGTGGGTGCACCTAGATACACCCACATTACACCAATTCTGAGAGAGAGAGAGAGAGAGAGAGAGAGAGAGAGAGAGAGAGAGAGAGAGAGAGAGAGAGAGAGAGAGAGAGAGAGAGAGAGAGAGAGAGAGAGAGAGAGAAAGAAAGAAAGAAAGAAAGAAAAAGAAAGAAAGAAAGAAAGAAAGAAAGAAAGAAAGAAAGAAAGAAAGAAAGAAAGAAAGAAAGAAAGAAAGAAAACCTGGCAGAGGCCACTTGACAAGGAACAGAAACCTTGCAATGTGGCAGTGGCACTTTAAAAAACAAACTGGCAGAGAAACAGCATGGAAAAAATAGTGGCAGAGAGTGGCAGAAGGTCTGCCTACTGCTGTCACACCGCCGCAGCCAAACTGCCCATTAGGGGTGAAGTCAAGGCAATGGTGGCAGTGAGAGGGTCTTAATGGGAAGTATACCCCTCCTTGGTGCTGTCCCATCCCCCACTGCGGCCAAACTGCCAGTTTGGCATTTGGGCCAGAGTCAACCTACCACCGCCCCCCTCTGACAGTCCGCTCGCTCACCTGGTTCTCCATCCAGTGCCCGCAGCGAGTTAATCCAACAGCAAATTTCCAGTGTTGACATGTCCTGCGAAGAAATGGTGGTGTCGAGAAGGCCTCCCCCAGCGAGCTAACGGCCTGAAGTTGTCATATAGACAGACCCACATCTAATAACACACGTTAATACCTGAGATTATGATCGGATGACATGTTCCTCAAGGGATGTTATTGGAGAAACGTCAATGAACTTGTCATCAAAGTCTTGCCCTGAAGTTCAGAGATCCCGTGAAAGATCTCTGGAAACTTCACCAGATCTAAATAATGCTGGTCTGGGGATTCCTGGGCCTTGCCATGTTCTGCCCACTTTGTGGGTCCTGATTTGGCTTCCTGTTAGTTACATGATGCCATTTAATGAACTGACTGGCCCCGCCCCCATCTATTCTCTGCCTCCCGAGTCCCAGCTGATCGGGAGGGAATGGGGATTTTGCAGTAACCTTCCCCTGCCACGCCCACCAAGCCACGCCCACAGAACCAGTAGTAAAAAAATTTGAATCCCTCCACTGGTTATGGCTGAAGCTCTTAAACAAGAATCATGTTTGGGTGTGCTGGAATCTTACCTTCTGAGTACAGTGATTCCGTCACACAAAAATTAATGCCTTCCTTGCACTTTTCTGCTTTGTCTTGGCATCTGTCTTTAAACGGCCCATTGCAGCTATAGCAGGTGATTCCATGGGCTGCAAGAACGAAAGAGAGCAAAAGCAGTTTCAGAAAATCTTTGCTTCCTTCTCATACAAAATTCAGAGTCTGATATTTTAAAAAAAAGTTTTAAACTGTTAAAAGATTTAGTGCCTATTTCCAACTTTACTTCATTGTTTAAAGTTTTGGAAAGCAACAACTGACAAGAAGAATTATTTAAGAGTTTACAATCACTTCCTCCCTCCCTCCCTCCCTCCCTCCCTTCCTTCTCAAAGCACTATGGATCTGTACAAACAATGGGCCAAAAGAATTTGGGGGACTCTTGAGGGATTTAGATTACTACAGTGGTCAAGCTTAGCCAAATCAGGCTCATGTGACTTGGAGGTGGACTTCAGAAACATTTCATATATTATGATTAGGATGCAAAGTTATTTATTACGATGCAAATTTACCTGGAACAGCAGAATATACTATAAGCTACAGTTGCAACAGTGCAGTTTGGGTGTGGCGGAAGCTGCAAATCTGCTGTTGAAGATAACAGGAATAACGTAATAACAGAGTTGGAAGGGACCTTGGAGGTTTTCTAGTCCACCTCTTGCTCAAGCAGGAGAAACATGGAAAAGCCACTATTATAAGCATGTACAAAAGTAAACCTAAGGATCAGTTTCCACTTGTTAGAAATGTAAGTGACTAAATACAGATCAGCCAATGCGATTGCATCATTTAAATGCCTTGTATGAAACCGACTGTGTAAATTGTTTGTGTTTGTGTTTGTACTCCCATCACCTGGGATCTTTCTGAGCTGGTTGAGCAAATTGCCCTTTTGAGGAAGGCCAAGGTGTTCTCGCACAATTAACAGAGTTGGAAGGGACCTTGTGGGTCATCTAGACGAACCCCCCACCCCCAACCAAGCAGAAGACCCTACACCATTTCTGACAGATGACAGTCCAGTCTCTTCTCGAAAGCTCCCACAGTTGATTGCTCTCCCTGTCAGAAAATTCCTCCATATTTCCAGGTTGAATCTCTCTCATGAAGAGAAATTGCTGGTTTACAAAATGGCTGCTATGAAGGTACGGCCAGCCCAAAATAATACAGGGATCAAATTTATAATGTTCCTGTCTTACTCTTTCTGTCCAGAATTACACGTTCATCGATTTAGCCTTCTCTGATTTGCTTTTTTGGAAGTACAATAGAACTTGGGCTCCCTTTTTTAAACAGTTCATATTAAACTTTGTATCTGTTTCGGAACCATCACTCCAACATTCACACATTTGTATTTTTGAATTTCCTGATGGAGCTAATATTACCTTTTGTGACGATACATGTTGTAGAATAGTTTCTGATGAAGTGCATTTTAAAATGTATGAATGTTCAAGTTTTGAATAATGATTAGGTTAGCTGTTATGCTTCAGTATTCAAGTCAACAAACTGGATACATTCAAACATCCATAGTGGTATATTTTATTTTTTCAGGATGCTGCTTCACATCCACCTTTCCCCGCCCCCCTCTCTTTTTAAAGGCTAGTAAAGAGCTGGGGGTTTTTTTCCAACTTACCCAGGGTGGAAGAAAGCAGAATGAAGAACCCACAGAGAAGCACCTTCTTCATTCTTGCTCAGATGCTCGACTTGGCAAAAGGGATGAGGCTGAACAGGAGGGAAAATCTGTGTGATCCAGATCAGATTCTTTTGCACAGACCTGTCCATCCCATTTATATTGGGTGAAGCTCCTGGGAAGGCCAATTAAAAAGGGACACGTGGCTCTAGTTTGGCTTGGGCGGGGCCTGTTCTTCTGACATTGGAGTTTCTGTCTAATGTGAAGGCTCACCTTGTATAGTACAAAAGAAAACAATGTATATTATATTATCTAGGAAGTCTTTGCATTGTGTAATGAACCATTTGAAAGATCCCATTTGTCATGTCCCTTATTTAACGATTACTTCTCTATCACTGCCCTTGCTTTTGACAATCACTTAATGTATGTTAATCACCAATGATGGGGCCTTGGTGCTCTCTGAGCTTGCTTGTTTTCTTGACAATGATGTTACCTTGTTGGGCTAACGAAATGTCTGCAAGAAAACAACCAAGCTCAGAATCCCTCATTTCAACCCTGAACTACAAATATTCTCCTTTATTGGTGCCAATCGCCAATATCGGGGGGTTTTCTGTTCTGATAGAATATATATTCTAATTTTTCTCTTTAATAATCCCTCAATGGTTTACCAAACTAATCACATACATAAATAGACCAAAATAAAGGCTTTGTCAAGTGCTGCTGCCTAGAATTTTCATTGCCTCATCAATAACTTTGTTTGGGAGGAAGTATATGTATTTGGTTTTACCTTGCTTTCTTCTAGGATGTTTTCCCCATTTTTCTCACTGTGGCCTACAGCTTTGGGATTCCTCAGGGTTTTCATACTAGCAAAGATTGAGCTTCTTCACTTCAGCCAAGGTCAGTTAAAGGGGAAAAACTAAGGTTCTACATTTAGGCAAAACAACAATAACAACACCAAAAGGCACAGGTACAGTATATGTGGTACCTTGCTCAATAGTAGTAACTGTGAGACAGATCCTGAAGTCCCAGTGGACAACCATTTAGATATGAGCCAGCAGTGTGCAACAGCTGCCAAAAAAGCCAACATAGTTCTAGGCTGCATAAACAGGGATAGAATCAAGATCATGTGAAGTGTTAATACCACTTTATAATGCCTTGGTAAGGCCACACTTGGAATTCCGCATAGAAGTTTTGGTTGCCACGATGTAAAAAAAGAGGTTGAGACTCTAGAAAGAGTGCAGAGAAGAGCAACAAAGATGATTAGGGGACTGGAGGCTAAAACATATGAAGAACGATTGCAGGAACTGGGTATGTCTAGTTTAATGAAAAGAAGGACTAGGGGAGACATGATACCAGTGTTCCAATATCTCAGGGGCTGCCACAAAGAAGAGGGAGTCAAGCTATTCTCCAAAGCAGTGGTCACCAACTGGTGGTCCGCAGACCACTGGTAGTCCATGAGAAAATGTTGGTGGCCTGCGGAGAAATCTTCATATTTTTGCATTTTTTATATTGCACTCATCCTGAAGCTACAGCTCCTGGGCCGGATATGACCCCCGAGAGCAATTAATCCAGCCCGTGAATGGGAACACAAGGCTGCACCACCCACCCCACCCACATTCCAGCCCCCACTCTTAAGGCCGAGCACAAACCTCACCTTGAGTAAAGCAGTGTGAGCCACACTAATTGTAATTGGAAGGTAAGACCAAGAGCTCGCCGTGCTCAGCTGAAAAGCTGCCGGGTGGGGGGGCATTCAGCTGTCTTTCTGGCCCACATCTCTCCTTATGCTATGCTTCCAAGTGGGAGACCTGAGAGAAAGCTCCTGCTCCAGGCAACCAGTACCTCTTTTGTGCTCCTTCTCTCAAGAAGCTTGGTCAATCTGACTGAAGGAAAATGAAGACTGGCTTGCTGACGTTAGTGGGCAAGTCGGTCCGTGACTATAGTAGTCACAGGACTGGCCTGTTGGTCATCCCAAAGCAGCTCCTCCACCAGGGTGCACCGGCCTGCAGGGGTGCTGACTGCTCCCTGGCAGGCCGGTGCACCCGGGTGGAGGAGCTGCTCCAGGATGACCAACGGGCCAGTTCTGTGAGTGTGACTACTACAGCTCTGGAATATGGGACCGGCCGTGGCAGAGCTGGAAATCTCTGCCCTAGGGTGGCATGTGCAATGTGCAACTTTGCAGATGGTACAATACGCAAGAGATGGCTGTCAAGGGGCAAAATATTAACCCAACTGTTCACCCTGCGTGAAGAAATTAAATTATTTTTCTACCAGCAAAATAATACAAAATTTCAAGAACTGTTGTCTGACAATGAATGGGTAGCCACGCTTGCATACCTGGCAGATATATTTTCACTGTTAAATGAACTTAACATATCTTTCCAAGGACAACTTAAGGACCTGTTCACACTGAGGTAAAATGGATGCTTCTCAAAAGAAATTATTACTGTGGCAAACGCGATTGGCTGAAGAAGATCAGCAGATGTTTTCAAATGTTGATGAATATATGAGAGAGAAGGATGTCAACCAGCAGGTGATAACCACTGTTCAACAGCACTTACAATCACTCCAGAATGTTTTGGTGGTTATTACCCAAAGAAAGAAGACCTCAGACATGGCAATATGTGGATAATAGAACCATTTGCAGCAAACATTAAAGATAGCAATTTAAGTATGCATGAAAAAGAAAGCCTCGTCGATCTCTCATCCGACGACGGTCTCAAAGCTAAATTCCAGTTATCCATATCAAGATCTCATTTCTGGCTCTCCCTAAAAAGTGAATACCCATTGCTGAGTGAAAAAGCAATTAATTTTTTTTAGGGGGAGAATTTATTTTTAAACAAAACATAAAACATAAATCCATCATCCATTTCAATTGCAAACAGCGTGTCGGTCGGTTACAAATCTTTTGTGCTTCATCTCTATGTTCAGAATTTACTAATTATCTAATTTCTCATATTGTCAAACAAATAAACATGAGGAAGCAGAACATGAGGAAGCAGAAATTCCCCACTCGTGGAGGGAGGCCAATATCAGCTTAATTCCAAAGGAAGACCCCCCCCCTTGACAGACATAAAAAATTACAGAACAATATCTCTTTTGAATTCCGATTATAAAATTTTCACAACAATTTTGGCAAACAGATTAAAAGTCTTCCTGAATGAATTTATACATACTGACCAGAACGGGTTTTTACCATCACGTCAAATACGAGATAATTTGAGAGTCATGTTAAACGTATTGGAATACTATGAAGAGCATCCAGGCAAACAAGTAGCACTAGTTTTTATAGACGCCCAGAAGGCTTTTGACAGGGTCAACTGGGAGTTTATATTAATACAGCTAGAACATATGGGTTTTGGACAGAGATTTATAAATGCAATCAAAGCTATTTATTCCAAACAAACGGCCAGATTACTGATAAATGGGGATTTAACAGAAGAGTTTTCTATTAGCAAAGGTACAAGACAGGGCTGCCCCCTCTCCCCCTTACTTTTTATTTTATCATTAGAAACTTTACTACGAAAAATAAGGAATGAGGAAAAGATAAAAGAATTGGACAACAGGTATATAAAACTCAGGCCTTTGCAGATGACATGATTTTCATCCTGGAGGAGCTGATAAAATCTTGCACATACCTACTAGAGAGATTGAGGAATTTGGGGCAGTAGCAGGACTATTAATTAATAAAAAGAAAACAAATTTATTAACAAAGAATATTTCAGAGGAAGATAAAAAAGACTTACAGGAAGTGACTGGGTTGAAAATAGTTAATAAAATCAAGTATCTAGGAATTTGGTTATCTGGTAGATGTTCGAGTATACAAGAAGACAATTACAACAAATTATTAACTCAAACAAAGAAAGATTTAAATTAATGGGGTAAAATACAACTCTCACTTCTGGGACGAGTCACAACAGTCAAATCTTACATTCTACCAAAATTTAACCTCCTATTTCAAACTGCCCCAGCGAATTTATCTAAAAATTTTTTTATGGAATTAAACCGAATAATAACTAAATTTATCTGGCAGGGGAAAAAGCCACGGATTAAGAAAAAGATGATGCAGGAGATAAAAGAAAGAGGAGGCCTGGGACTACCATGCTGGGAGAACTATTACTCAGCCGCTTTGTTAGCGTGGGTAAAAGAATGGATTACCTTGGGTAATAACCGTCTTCTTAAACTAGAAGGTTACGATCTACAACAGGGCTGGCATATGGCACTTTGGCGAAATGGCACCCCACAAAGTAAATGGTTTACTAGACACTACATAAGAAACATTCTAATTCGAAACTGGGAAAAGGTTAGCAAAAAATACTACATTAAAACACCATGTTGGATATCCCGGGTGGAAGCATTGACATATCCCAAACTTTACAACCCAACAAAGAAATTAACATATAAAGACCTATTGAATGCACAGGGAAAATTAAAACCTAAACAGGAATTGAACTTGTTAGGAATACAAGTAGATTGGTGGACTTATTTACAGATCCAATCCAAATTCAAAAAAGATAGAGATGGGAAAGGCATACATGTGGATCTACAAGAATTAGATAAAATCTTGATGGGCCAGGAAAAAGGAATGATTTCAAAAAGTTATGAATTATTAATGAGATTAGAGATAGGTGATGAGATAATTAAAGACACAATGATCGCCTGGGGGAAAAATTTTGGGTATTCAATCCACTTAGACAAATGGCAAGGGATATTTACTCAAACCTCACCTTGAGTAAAGCAGTGCGAGCCACACTAATTGGAATTAGAAGGTAAAACCAAGAGCTTGCCGTGCTCAGCTGAAAAGCTGCTGGGGGAGGGCATTCAGCTGTCTTTCTGACCCACATCTCTCCTTATGCTATGCTTCCAAGTGGGAGACCCGAGAGAAAGCTCCTGCTCCAGGCAACCAGTACCTCTTTTGTGCTCCTTCTCTCAAGAAGCTTGGTCAATCTGACTGAAGGAAAATGAAGACTGGCTTGCTGACGTTAGTGGGCAAGTCGGTCCGTGACTATAGTAGTCACAGGACTGGCCTGTTGGTCATCCCAAAGCAGCTCCTCCACCAGGGTGCACCGGCCTGCAGGGGTGCTGACTGCTCTCCGGCAGGCCGGTGCACCCGGGTGGAGGAGCTGCTCCAGGATGACCAACGGGCCAGTTCTG